TTTGGCTACTTCCTACAACAACATCGGTCTCGTGTATGACAACATGGGTGACTACTCGAAAGCACTTGAATTTTACGAAAAAGCACATAAAATAAAAGAAAAAGCTCTGCCTCCGAATCATCCCGAGTTGGCTACTTCCTACAACAACATCGGTATGGCGTATTCCGGCAAAGGAGACTACTCAAAAGCACTCTCATTCTTAGAAAAGGCACTTTCTATCTGGCAAAAATCACTTCCACCTAATCATCCTAATATTAAAACAGTCACAAACTCAATTGACAATGTAAAAAAGAAAATGTAACTAATTTTTTCTTTTCACTTGCTCAATAAATTTATTCACATTGCTATTCATTTCGATTTTTCTTGGCTCACTTTGGCTTATCCGCGCGCGCGCGACAAGGTAGAGATCCCTTGTCAATGCCATAGGTACCACAGGCGGACCACGCCGGACTGGTAGGGCAATGACCGAAGGTATGCCGTATTAACACGGTAGGAACCAACGACTCATAGAGGCCTTCCCTAGTACTACACTGCTTCGCTATGACACGAAAGTTCTTGTCCCTATTGAATCAGAAAACGTAGTTCTCTGACCCACACTAATAATATTCATAACTCAACTCAACTCATCTCAAAAGTACTCATACTCATAATAACTGACAATATTTATTTTTTCTCGAAATAAATTATCTCGACTCAACTCAACTCAACATGTAAAAAAAATTTCTTTCCTACCTCTCAATGTTGTATTGTATCGTAGCTCATCTAAAAAAAAAGTGTTGTTAAATATAAAGACAAATAATTTACCTTATTTAAAATATAATGATATCATTATCATTGTAAATAATATAATAATAATAATAATAATAAATAATGTACCCGGGTATATAATTACATTGTAATACATCATATTGAGAAAACGCGAATGTACTGTTTTATGATGATACATCCATGTTTTTATATACACTATGGTTCATTGTTTAATATTCAACGGTTTTGATTGATTTTTCATCAATCACATCACACACGTGAATTGATGTTTCTTCGTGTGTTTTAATTGATTTGACGATCAATCTTTATGTAGTGATATATATATGTTTTTTTTAATTTCTTTTTTCTCATCTGACGGACATCAATATCATGTCGTCGTCGTCGTCGTAGTCGGAAAAAAAATATTCGTCTTATGTGTATATGTAGAGTGTGAGTTGAAAAAAATATTAACATTCACTGCCACACCCATACCCTTCATCACCATCTTCTGAAATAAAAATCTTCAAATATTTCTTCACAAGCAACATGAATTCGATCTACTCTGTTTCATAGTTTCTATTTAAGTAAAAAATTAATACTAAAAAAAATATGTTGACACGAATGAAAGTGATTTTCAAGTTGCTGTACTCGATTCATTTGTTCAATTACTTTTAATTCACATTAATTGTAGTATACTAAACACTGATAAAATTTCTTGTATTTCTGATCTATCGCTTATTTTTGAATAGAATTTCTTACGAAATTTCTTATTATGTTGTCACAAAGCAAGTAAACATGACTTGCAACGTATGATAAGAAGAAAAGAAAAAAGAATATTTTCAAGAAAAATAAATTATTGTGAGGTATGTTCAGATTTCCGAAAAAGGAAATTACAGAAATTTCCGAAGCTTCCATCAACTCGATAACTACATAACAAAGCAATTGGAAAGTTTTTGGAAATATTGGAAATTTCAGAAATTTCTGTAATTTCAGAAATTTCGCTAGATACAGAATTTCTGAAATTTCAGAAATTTCAGAAATGACATAATTTTGGAAACTACCAAACAATTTAGAACACAAGTGTTTAAAATTTCCGAAACTTCCGAAATTTCCTTTTTCGGAAGTCTGAACACTGCTGATTATTGTTTGAATTCTTTTTTTTTTAGTTTTAGCAGTATTAGACTTAGTTGTATATGATATTATTGTTGATAGTATTCAACATGAAGGTAATTAATGGAATTGTATTTCACGACAAATTGTCCATGGACTTCTTATTCATTTACAATTACATGTTACTATGGCATCATCTAAGGTTATTTTTCTTTCTTTGATAATCTGAGATTTCACTTTACTTTTTAGGATCAATCACTTTTGGATATTTATTCTACACAAGTAACAAATTTTATTGTTGTATCATTATTTGAATTACGATTAATTGATCCATTTATTGTTACATTTCGAGCATTAGCAAACAGAAAAGTTCGTTTTTTTTTATTCATGAAATTTTTCTAAAGCTTAAATTGTTTTTTAGAATATCAATCGTCCTTTCCGTTTAGTTTGGTCCATAATTGGATTTATCTTCTATGATAGTACCATTTATTTGAATTTAAAATTTCTATGGTTTTATAATATCTCTAATTTTATTTTAGCTAAACAATTCTAAATAATTTTCGTGAATTTTTAATTCATGATGAAACTATACATCATCTTGATACCTTTTCATATTAATAATTTTCTTGGCTTTATAGATCGTACATTAGCTGGAAATTATTTACTTATTCAATCAATATAGACTATTAGGAATAATTTATTAAAACCAAATACATTATTATTAACATCGTTAAAATTCTTCGTACACTTATATATATTTGTATTACCGGTAGTCGAATCAACTGTTTGTCTTCATATTGAAAAGATGGTAGGACTTGAAGAGCAATCATTAAATTCACAACTAGTACCTAAATATTTACCATTAATTTTACAAATATTATTAACAACGAAAAACAAATAATATACACTAAATATTGATGCACAAATGCTTCAAAATGTAACTTATAGAAGTATATGTAATGAGTATTTTAATCTAACAGAAGAAAAAGTTTACCTTTCTTTGACATTGTTGTGATAAGAAATAAAAACGGCAGAATTCTACATAGTACAAATCGTAAAGAAAAGCATTTCAACTACATTAATACAATAACGAAACTTATCGATAAAATTTTGAATCATGCTATTTATATTGTTACAGCTAAAAAAATACGATATCTTTTTAATTTTATGAAAAAGAAAATAATCATAAATAGTTTTAAAAACATCTCGTAAGATATTTTCTATTGTGTCATCTATTTGAAACTCAAAATAACGGATTCAACTTTATGAAACATTCTTCAAAACAAATATTATCAATTGATGACTAAAGATACAACACAAATATTGATCTCATATTCAGTTTGACATTTTCGATCGGAAGAGATCTTGAAACTAAGTTACTTTCTTGCAATAATGTCTATGACCAAAATACAAATACAAATAACATGTTGAATTTATATATTAATTTTCAACAGATGATGCAAATGATTTATTTCGTATTATTATATTTATGCCGAAAATTATTTATATAAATGTATTTCGAAAAAGAAAGAGTTCTTAGTTGAAATTGAAATGAAAGGGTTATTTCGAGGTTTGACAAAACAATACATAACCTAAACATCAATTATGTATAAATTACTTACGAGGCAAGATCCTTAACTGATCAATCGCTTTTGCATTGAGACAATGTGCAATATGTAGGTACAAAGAAACTATGAATATCTTGAAAAAAGTTCGGACTGACAGCTTGTTCGTATGAAGATATTGCATTTTTACGGTATGTTTTTAAATGAATGCCGTGTTCCCTCTCAGGAGTATCAGAAAAAGTGATTTTCGAATTTCGACTTGAAACTTTATATAGAAACAGAACTTATCGAGAATAGTATTCTATAAATATTTCAGATCTTTCGATTAGTTCCACTCTTGAAAGACAAGCATCAAATCTTCTGGTTTATCCGGATGAAGTTATCATATCTGTAAGTATGGATAGCAACAGCAAACAAGTCTGAAGGGTGGGTGTGTGAGTATTCTATTTTCTAGCTACACCCACACCGTATTTTTTATGTATTTATGTAATATTAACCAATTTGATTTCGATGAGTTGATTAGTTTTTGTAGAACTATTTCTGATAAATAATTAAAATAGATTTAAATTGATAATCAACCTTTAAGATTTATTTAGTTAAAATCAAATAAAAATTTAATGTTGAAATGTTTCAATCGAAATTAATTGAATTTTTATGTCGAGACTGAGTTAAACTATATTCAACTATTTAAGATTTGCTTTTATCAATTACAGTTATCCGGAAAAAATCTTATAAATTTTTATAACTGATGAAGTTGTAAACTAGAAACGAAACGTCACAGCATTTTAAACAAAAATAAATAAAAAACTAACACTTAGTCAAATGAAAATCATTTAAATAATCAGAAAGATAACCTACAAACGTCAACAAACGTATTGTGAATGTACCGTTCTAGAATAGTTTTTTCTCCAGATTCTGATGAAGAAATTTTTTCTTAAAGTTCTTAAGTGTTTTTCCCAAAACTTGGTTTCTCGGCAACAAATTGAAATAAATTCTATCCGGCTCGGAACAGAGCTAACTTTCATATTTAATTGGTTTGTTATGCTTATATTGAACAACATGTCCATTAAAATGTTTGTAATAATTGAACAGAAGGAAATTTCAAAAATTCCGTCCGATGAAAAATTGCACACAAAAGCTAGTTTTCGTTTGAATGCAGTCCTATTAGGGGTTATTTCCAAAAAGAGAATAGAATGTCCTTGATGTTA